TTGCTGCCACTGCCTGCTTTCTTGCAGCGTAGCTGATGTCGACTGGCGCCTGCTCTGTCGCCTGCCCGAGCTACACCCTGCGCTGTACCTGATGGGCTTACCTCCGCCTCGGCTCGACCGGGGGGTTCCGCCCACCAGCCGAAGCCGCTCTCTACCTGCCCTCTTGCAGCGGCGCCGCGGCGGCTGGCGCTTCTGCTCACCAAGAAGGGGGAAAATGGACGAGGACAGTGAGGCAAGGGAGTCGACTGCTGGCGGCTGCGTGCATGCCCGACCTCAGCATTAGTAGTTGATGATGTTGGGCACCACGCCTCTTAATGCTGGCCCCTGTGCGCATTGCCAGACCGACCTCGTGTGCCCCGTGCAGGGTGGGCCGCTTGATGCAGAAATGGCTCGAAGCCAGAGGGAGGAGAAGAAGGGGGAGGAGGAGGAGGAAGAGGGGGAGGAGGGGGAGAAGAACGAGGAGGAGGAAGAGGTGCGAGCAGCAGGAGCAGGAGGGCGGTGCCAGCGGATGACCCGGAGGGCAGGAGCAGCAGCAAAGCGACGAGCAGAGCGGTGGCCGGCCCAGGCGCGACAGCCGAGCCTCGGTGGGGAGCGCCGGCTCCCTGCAGCGCTCCGCGTCGACGGGCGGCGGCTTCCTCGAGCTGTGGCCGGTGTGGCTGGAGGATCCGCTCCTCGTCGTCGTCGTCGTCGTCGTCCTCGCCACACCCTCCTGCCACCATCCTCGTTCTCGCCGTCGTCGTACGTCTCCTCCTTCTCCTCCTCCTCGTCCTCCTGTCTTCGACTGCGCAGAAAAGTACGGCCACCTCGCCATCAATGTGACCAAGTGTGTGATCATCCCCCTTTGGGCTGCTCTTGACGATCAGGTACGGTCTGTGATTCGCTTTTTCTTGGCAGAACAGATTCCAGCTTGGAGTAACTTCTTGATTGCTGATGTTGGTGTCTACCTTGGCGCACATATTGGACCTGGAGCGACCAATGAACTGCAATGGTTGAAGGCGATCCCGAAGTGGTGGGACCGTCTCTTTGCCTTGTCTACTTCTGGCGCCCCGACGGATGCACTGGCACGGCTATATCAGACCTCGAGCATCACGGTCCTGAGCTACCTCGCGCAATTCTTCTGGCTTCCTAAAGTGGCTCTGACACGAGAAATACATGCCCTGCATCGTGTTCTGCGTATGCCCCCGAGCACGTTCAGGCTTCAGGATATCCTAGCGATGTCGACATGGATGACGTCCCCTTCGCCAACATCCCTCAAACTGTACAATGTTGCCACGATGTGGCGCATGGCCAACTACACGATCGTAGGCTGGACGCACTTTCTTGGCTTGCTCGACGCCATGGCGGTCCAATACTGCCCGTTACCTGCATTTGCGAGGGGACGATGGTCACCCCCTTTCTGGAAAGAGCCGATGGCTATAGTGCAGCGCTACGCCGCCCTGAACTCGGGCCAGTCCCCGCTGCTACCGACGCGATCGAGCTCATCCCTGGAAGCTGCTGCTGAGATTGCCCGCAAGACGGCTGAGGACGCACGTGCAGCTGGACACCGTCCGCGACCTCAACGATGCTTCCTTCAACAAATCACGTCGCGGATCTTCCCTGATAGATTTCATCAGACCATCTTCAAGCGCCTGCAAAAGTGGTATGGCATGTCGATATCCATGCGGAGTTTGCGGACGAGGTGGCTCCACCTGAAATCCTTCCTAGCCAAGGTGTCTCCTTCGTGGCGGTGGATTGTGGTTCGGACTTTGGCAGGCGGGTGGCACACATCCTCGAGAATGCATGTTCACCCTGAGCGAGCTCAATGTGCCTTTGGATGTGATGCCGATGACGCTATTCAACATTATCTTGTATGTCCTCGTCTTCAACATCATGTATGCCTTCCTCGTGCCTTTTCTCATGATACAGTTCTGGCGAGGATTGGCCTTGGCGATGAAGGAGAATACGAGCGTGACGATTCACACGAAAAATCGATGTGGGCTACGATGAGGAGGCTCGTACTGTCCTACTACATGTACCTGGAGATGAAGAATGGTCCTGAACGAAGGCGTGATGACTACTCTGCACACCTTTCTGCCCGCCGTGCTGCGTTGGATCGTCTGGACATGGGTGGCAACCGCCCTGAGTTCGGGCGCACACCTGCACCAGCTGTCCACCAAGATCTGCCTCGAGACGGGCCTCATGCTGCGCCCCGCGGACTCGATGCATCCGTGCCTGCAGCGCCCCATCCTGCCGTCGTTGACGGCCAAGACAACACTGACATCGACACTGCCGTCAGCGACGGCCTCGACCTCAACACCTTCGACACTGCCTTCGACGCCGTCGCCGATGGGGTCGACAACGACTTCATGTGAGGAGCTCGGCCGCGGGCGGGCGCTGCCGCCGCTGCCGAGGAGACTCCGCCTTCTTATCGCACTGCTGCTCCTCCTCGTCCTCCTCTTCCTCTTCCTCCCTCTTCTCGTCGCCCCCTTCCTCGTCCTCCCGCCGTTTTAAGCCGAGGCTGTCGTCAAGTTGGCCCATGAGGTGTTCGTCGTCGTTGTCGTTCCCCATATCCTAAGATGGGGTTCTTGTTATTACTTGGACGCCTCCTACTCCCTCTCCTTCTCCCTCCTCCTCTTTCCTCCTCCCCTCCTGCCGGACTTACTCATACTCAGACTTGCTCATACTCAGACTTACTCATACACAGACTTACTCATACTCAGACTTACTCATACTCAGACCTACTCATACTCAGACTTCCTCACACTCAGACATACTCATACACAGACTTACTCATACACAGACTCACTCACACCCAGACGTACTCATACACAGACTCACTCATACCCAGACTTACTCATACACAGTATTAGTCATACTCAGACTTACTCATACCCAGACGTACACATACACAGACTTTCTCATACACAGACTTACTCATACCCAGACTTACTCATACACAGACTTACTCATACACAGACTTACTCATACTCAGGCATACTCATACTCAGACCTACTCATACTCAGACTTACTCAACACACATCAGATTTGGAGGATGTCTCAAGCGGGGCGCTGGTTTCAGCACCCCTAAGGGGAGCCGCCAGGGGTGTTTGCACGGGCTCGTTCGCGGCCATTTTGTGGGGATGTCTCAGGCGGTTTGCTTGTTTCTGGGCTCAACATCCTTCGCTTGGAGAGCAGATTGTGAGGATGTCTCAGGCGGGGCGTTGGTTTCAGCACCCCTAAGGGGAGCCGTCAGGGGTGTTTGCACGGGCTCGTTCGCGGCCATTTTGTGGGGATGTCTCAGGCGGTTTGCTTGTTCCCCATATCCTAAGATGGGTTTTTTGTTCCCCATATCCTAAGATGGGGTTCTTGTTATTACTTGGGCGCCTCCTACTCCCTCTCCTCCTTCCTCCTCCTCTTTCCTCCTCCCCTCCTGTCGGACTTACTCATACTCAGACTTGCTCATACTCAGACTTACTCATACACAGACTTACTCATACTCAGGCTTACTCATACGCAGACCTACTCATACTCAGACTTACTCACACTCAGACATACTCATACACAGACTTACTCATACACAGACTTACTCACACCCAGAAGTACTCATACACAGACTCACTCATACCCAGACTTACTCATACACAGTATTAGTCATACTCAGACTTACGCATACCCAGACGTACACATACACAGACTTTCTCATACACAGACCTACTCATACCCAGACTTACTCATACACAGACTTACTCATACACAGACTTACTCATACTCAGCACTCAGCTAAGGGGAGCCGCCAGGGGTGGTTGCACGGGCTCGTTCGCGGCCATTTTGTGGGGATGTCTCAGGCGGTTTGCTTGTTTCTGGGCCCAACATCCTTCGCTTGGAGCAGATTGTGAGGATGTCTCAGGCGGGGCGCTGGTTTCAGCACCCCTAGGGGGAGCCGCCAGGGGTGGTTGCACGGGCTCGTTCGCGGCCATTTTGTGGGGATGTCTCAGGCGGTTTGCTTGTTTCTGGGCCCAACATCATTCGCTTTCGGAGCAGATTTGGAGGATGTCTCGAGCGAGGCGCTCATTTTCACCCCCCAGGTGGGCCAGATGTTGATGATGCCTCGATCGGTTTGCTTGTTTTGGTGGCCAGGCTCGTGGCCCTAAGGGGAGCCGCCAGGGGTGGTTGCACGGGCTCGTTCGCGGCCATGTTGTGGGGATGTCTCAGGCGGTTTGCTTGCTTCTGGGCCCAACATCCTTCGCTTTCGGAGCAGATTTGGAGGATGTCTCGAGCGAGGGGCTCATTGTCACGTCCCAGGTGGGCCAGATTTTGAGGATGTCTCGATCGGTTTGCTTGTTTTGGTGGCCAGGTTCGTGGGCGCAGATTCTTCTCAGGATGCCACAGGAGGCTCCAACAGGCTCCAGGAGGCCCCAGGGGACCACATGAGGTCCCAGGGGGCATCAGGAGGCTACAGAAAGATTCAAGAGGCCACAGGATGTCCCAAGAGGCTCCAGGAGGCCCCAGGAAGCTCCAGAAGGCCTCAGGAAACCACAGGAGGCCCCAGGAGGCAACAGGAAACGCCAGGAGGCCTCGGAAGGCAACAGGAGGCCCCGAGAGGCCACAGGAGCAGGAGGCCTCAGAAGGCAACAGGAGTGGTTCCAATCCCATGTGTTTTACGTATGCTCCTATCGATTGGGCCTCACCTGGAGCACGATTTTTTGATGTTCTACGTATGTTTCTATAGATGGTCCTTCCCCTGTGTACACAATCCTAAATGTTTTACTCATGTTCCTATATATTGGGCCTCTCCTGGGGCACGAGTCCTTGGTGTTTTACGCGTGTTCCTATAGATTGCCCTTCTCCTGCGGCTCTAATCCGCAATGTTTTATGTACGTCTGTTGCTATAGATTGCGCCTCTCCTGGGGCACGAAACCTTCCTAGGAGGTCCCAGGAGGTCCCAAGAGGCTCCTGGAGACCCCAGGAAACCCCAGTAGGTTTCAGGAGGCCCCAGGAGGCCCCAGGCTCATGCACAGAGACGCGCTCGTACTACTGAGGCTCATTCACACTCCAATTCATTCGCAGTTAGATTGATGTCCAGACCGTCACAACTGAAGCCCGTTAATATTCGAAAGCTCATGCGCCTAGACATTCACGGCGGACAGGTCCATGCGCGTAGATGCACACATGGGGAGCTCCACGCAGTGAATAATTATTATTTGGACGCCTCCTACTCCCTCTCCCTCCTCCTCTTTCCTCCTCCCCTCCTGTCGGAGTTACTCATACTCAGACTTGCTCATACCCAGACTTGCTCATACGCAGACTTACTCATACTCAGGCATACTCATACTCAGACCTACTCATACTCAGACTTACTCAACACACATAAGATTTGGAGGATGTCTCAAGCGGGGCGCTGGTTTCAGCACCCCTTAAGGGGCGCCGCCAGGTGTGTTTGCACGGGCTCGTTCGCTGCCATTTTGTGGGGATGTCGCATGCGGTTTGCTTGTTTCTGGGCTCAACATCCTTCGCTTGGAGAGCAGATTGTGAGGATGTCTCAGGCGGGGCGCTGGTTTCAGCACCCCTAAGGGGGGCCGCCAGGGGTGTTTGCACGGGCTCGTTCGCTGCCATTTTGTGGGGATGTCTCCGGCGGTTTGCTCGTTTCTGGGCTCAACATCCTTCGCTTGGAGAGCAGATTGTGAGGATGTCTCAGGCGGGGCGCTGGTTTCAGCACCCCTAAGGGGAGCCGCCAGAGGTGTTTGCATTGGCTCGTTCGTTGCCATTTTGTGGTGATGTCGCATGCGGTTTGCTTGTTTCTGGGCTCAACACCCTTCGCTTGGAGAGCAGATTGTGAGGATGTCTCAGGCGGGGCGCTGGTTTCAGCACCCCTAAGGGGGGCCGCCAGGGGTGTTTGCACGGGCTCGTTCGCGGCCATTTTGTGGGGATGTCTCAGGCGGTTTGCTTGTTTCTGGGCTCAACATCCTTCGCTTGGAGAGCAGATTGTGAGGATGTCTCAGGCGGGGCGCTGGTTTCAGCACCCCTAAGGGGAGCCGCCAGGGGTGTTTGCACGGGCTCGTTCGCGGCCATTTTGTGGGGATGTCTCAGGCGGTTTGCTTGTTTCTGGGCTCAACATCCTTCGCTTGGAGAGCAGATTGTGAGGATGTCTCAGGCGGGGCGCTGGTTTCAGCACCCCTAAGGGGAGCCGCCAGGGGTGGTTGCACGGGCTCGTTCGCGGCCATATTGTGGGGATGTCTCAGGCGGTTCGCTTGTTTCTGGGCTCAACAGGGAGGGAAATGACAGGAACGAGGATGAGGAGGAGGAACAGGAGGAGGAGGAGGAGGCGGGGGATCGTGAGGAAGGGCATGGGGGTGCGGAGGGGGAGGGGGAGCAGGAGGATGAGGAGGAGGAGCAGGAGCAGGAGAAGGGAGGGGGTGGAGGAACAGGAACAGGAGGAGGAGGAGGAGGAGGAGGAGGAGGAGGAGGAGGAGGAGGAGGGCGCTTTGCTCGAAGGTCCTTGACGCGAGCAGAACGTTCGTTCCGAAGTCCAGGACATATGTATATATATATATATATATACATACATATATATACATATATGTATATATGTATGTGTATCTATATATATATACATTCATAGGGGGTGACTGCGAGGGGGGGGGGGGCGGTGGTTGTGTGCGGGGATCGTTGGACATGCTCACCGTGGCACTATCCTCCAACATGACATGCACTCATGGCCTTGTGTGGCTAAACGCTCGTCTTACATATCCCACTGCCAACTATCCTACAACATATGCACATGTGGGAAGCTCCAAAGCTACCGCGGGCTGAAAAGGGGAAGGCCTGGCAGCTGAGGAGGGGGGATGAAGAGGAAGAGGCTCGCATTCAACCATACTCAAAGCTCACTCTGACTCGTACGCAATCACTCGCATTAGGGGTCACTCGTCTTCGTCGGCCCTGTCGCCCACGTGGACGCGCTAGTGTAGTCGACCGCTCATGAACAGACGCTCACCACGGCATGACATAAAACATGAGATGTACATATGGGGAGCTCCACGCAGTGAGTAATCCTCCTCCTCCTCCTTTCCTTCGGCCGTCCCGTCTCAGCTGATGGCCCAGGGCTTGTCAAGCAGTCCCTGTCGTCCTCGTCGGCGTTCTGGTTTTCGTCGTCGTCCGTCTCCTCATCCGCGTCGTCCTCCGCCTCGCCCAGAGAGTCTGGCAGGGAGGTCGCTCTCTCTCTCTCTCTCTTTCCCTCCCTCCCTCCCTCCCTCCCAAGGTGGCTTCACAGCGAGGCCCCGCTCGGAACCGTTTTGCCCTGCGTCGGGCGCGCGCGCGCGCCTGAGCCCGCCATGGTGCAAGCCCCCGCGCCCTTGCGGGCGCGACGGACCGAGG